CGCCGACGCTTGCTGTCCCACCACTCCTGACCTGGGTGCTCTGGCACAGAGTGCAAGTCGAAGACGGACAGGTCGGCAAACAGACCAGTTTGCGGGAGCTCTGCCTCCACGCGCTTCAACGTCAGGTCCACCACCGTCTGCACGGACGCCATGGTTTCGAAGCACTTCGCCTTCGCGGCCCCCTGCGCCTGGCCCAGGCCCATCGTTCTAGGCCAAGCCGTGAACACCTTGTCATGTACATACAACGGCGGCAGCGCCATCGCCTGCGTAATTATCAGCCACGTGGCACTCTGCTCCTCCGCCGGCTTCCCTTGCAGCTCCTTGAGGATCTCTGCGTCGCAGAACAGAGACTTCATCCGCCTGCGCCAGCGAAGGAACTTTTCCCTGAACAACGCCGGGTCTGCATCGCGCTGGTCAAAGAAGCGGATGAACGCCAGCACCTCCGCATTGAAATCCGCCGACAGCCCAGCCCTAACGATGAACTCGGGCGTCATGGCTGCCAAAAGCGCCATCGCCTGCTTCATGTCAGCCGGTTGTGTTCGCACATCAACGGCTCTTGCCGCCAGCGCCAGCATGACGGGCCCAAGAAGAAACGCAAATCTGCGCTTGGGCGTGCTCGAGCTCTCCCAGCGGTGCGCAGCAAACTGAAAATGCTTCAGCACCACATCGACAACGCCTGCGAGACGCCCACCCTGGCGCAAACCTTCTTGTATCGCCACGAGGCGCGCCCGCCACTCCTCAGAGACCAGTAAACGAATGTGTTCATACCCATGATGTATTCTTTTGTACAAGTAAGAACAGACTTTGAAGTTACAATCTATGAGTATGCAAAAAAAAATTATCAGTCAAAAACACACACAACGCACACACATTGTGCAAAGTATCGTGCTTGTGCTGCAAGTCTGGCACCAGTGAGCCTTTCCCCCCAAAAAGCCGCGCCCACACCTCCGCGAAGTTGTCGTCCGCCACCTCGGCCGCCTGCGCCGCTAGCCTGATGGCATGGCTGGGATCGCGATGCACCTGGCTGCGGGGGGCCAGATGATAAGAAGGAACGCATCTTATCGGACTGCAGATAGTGAGTACGAGAAAAACTATGTTTGTTCAAAGTATTTCTCCTGTCCTGTTCATATAATCATAATTTTTTTGTATACATATATACATACAACAATGATAATCATCCTCAACAAATTCATGTTATATATATATATATACCTTTATATTATGTTGTTGGGAAGCTCTCGGTTTAACCTATAAATGAAAGCAGACCGGGTACTACAACCACGTTGGGCATCACCTCCTTGAGCAGCACGCCTGCCTTCAACAAAGCGCCATCGCCAGCGAAGATTTTGGTGCTCATCAGGATGTGGCTGTAGAGGCTCTCATCAAACTGGCCCATGATGTCCGTGCAAAAAAGTCTGACTGCCGCCAGAATGGAATCTCGCACCCGCACAGCATAATCCTCGTCAAAGTATTGCAGCGCTGCGCCTGCGGACGCAGGCGTTTCCCTCGCCTGCGCGGGCTTGAGGAGCGCCAACATACCGGCTGAGGATTCGTGCTTGCCGCCTGCGACACCGCTGGACTTGTACATGAGGCAGCGGTGGGGCTGCTTGTCGTCCAGAGTCAAAGCCACCGTGTGCGCCCGCGCCAGCGCCTGCCGCTTGCCCACCCGCATCGCCTCCGCCAATATGTCCGCCATAGCACCAACAGCCGCCTTGTTCACTTCCTTCAGGTCCTCAACCCTTGAGGAGGAGATAAAATCCTCTGTCAAAGAGATCTGCGACGTTCTCGTCAAGGAAACCTGGCTTCGACACAGCCTCCAGATCCGCAGCCAGTCTGGTGGCTGCGGGACGGCTCCCTTCAGGAGCACATCGTCCTCCAGTGTTGCCTGGCCTGAGCAGGAGGTCCGCGTTCTCGGGTACACGAAGCACTCATTACAGTGTTAGACTAAGAAGTATAGAGTGGGCCTTCAACAAAAAATGGAAAATTCCCACCGTGGCTCTCAAGACGAGTTCCGCGTCGTCTGGGCGAAGCCAAACCTGCAGAGCCATCTTGTGCACCGCGGATCGGGAGTGCAGCTGCAGCGCCGACGCCTGCATGCTTGCAAAACCTTGCACCTCGAACCGTGCCCACTTGGTTGAGCAGCGCCTGCCTGGAGAACCCGCGGCACCTACGCCTTCTTGCATTTTCTTGCACAAGTTGTGGCAAACCAGGCACCCCAGCGCCCACGCCGGCCGCCCGCCCCAGCGGTTTGGCCTTTCTCGGAGCCAAACAAGACGCTTGCCTTGGCCTATCGTCGTCGACGACACCCCAGTGCGTTCCCAGCCTTTGCGAAGCTTCAGGAACTGGCAAACGGCACAGCCTGTCTGGAAGCTGGGGTGCACTCTTCTGTGAGGGTGTTCGCCGACGCCTGCGGCAGCGCCTGCGCTAGCCGACGACCCCGACGCCTTTGACGCCTTGGAAGCTTTCTTATTCTTCTGCGCTGAGCCCGACGCCTTACGCGCTTTCTTTGGAGCCTGTCTCGCCCCTGACGGCTTCTTCTTTTTGACTGGGCGGGACTTGCTTGACTTTTCAGGTGCCTTCCTTTTCACCTGCACCGTCGCCCTCGCAAAAGAGGAAGGACCGAAAAGGTCTTTCAAGGGCACAGCAGGTCGGAAAACTACCATGACACGCAGTTGCAGCCAAAAAACTTCCACAAGCAAGACAATAAGCAAAACTCCAGGCAACGTCACATGCCTTGCCACAAGAAGCCCACGGGCAGGAGTCTCCAGTAGTATGACATCATGTTAATGTATAACATGAAACGAATACAACATACTGAACATAGAATATATGAGCATTACATATTGACGATATGTTAATTATATTCCTTGGTATGACAACATTCCATTGATATTTGCTGGCAGTTCCCGGTTGCATCACGCTCGCAACTTCCCGCCTTTGTCCTGGACGCCACGGCAACACTCGGCGTACAGCAGCACCGTGAGACACGCCTACAAGCTGGACCGCCCTCACTGATTCTTCACATCTGCCGTCTTCGTTTTGTGCACCAGCAGCCGGCGTTTCTTGACACTCCAAGACCAAATTGGAATGGTCCCCGCCACCGTTCGCTTCTTCGCCTGCGCCTGCCCCGTCTTCGGTTGGCCCAGCCTTGCCTTTTTCCAATTCAGCATGCTGACCGCGAGAACGATGGCCACACCAATAGACTGCACGTCCTGGCAGTTGCCAGCCATTCTCGGTAGCGTGCGCCTCGTCGCGGCGGGGAACTTCAGCTTGTCCACAGGCACTGTGTTGGTCAAGAGTCTGCAAGCTGCCCCGGCGCCTGCGCGAATGACGATCTTCGACGACGTGGTGAGTGTGGGACCTAGGCACAAAGAAGCAACATAAATGCACCTGTGTTTAGGTGGAACGCCTTATATTTTGCAATTAAGTCTAGGCAGGTTACCAGTATTTTACTACTAGACGATGTTAGACTGTAGTTATACTAACACCGTGGCCGAGCATCAAAGGTTGTCACCACACGGCATGCGATCCGCGCTCTGCGAAACGTCCACCGCCAACACCTTGGCCAGGCCCAACTTGGCTTCGGCCAACTGCAAGACTTCCGCCTCTCTTGCTGTCAGAAAGGAAAGCTTGCGCAGGGGCGGCAACTTCCCGGCTTTCCTTTGGGCTTCGCGGTGCTTGAGGATCCACTTCGCCGTCGCCGTCGTCTTCCTGCTCGCTTGCGCTCTCGCCACCACCGGTTTCTTCATCTGCTTTGCCGCCCCCTTCGCTGACGCCGACGGAAGCAAAAACATGGAAAGCGGTTGCTGCATCTTCTGCTCAGCAACAGACCCCAGCATTGCCGCCACCAGCGCCTTCGTCGTCCGCCAGCACCCAACCATCAGGCTATCCTCCCGGAGGCAGAGGATGAAGACGCGTGGCCGTCGAAGCCCTCTGCCCAGCTGCGTCGGGCAGAGCTTCACCGCCAGCAGCCGATAGCCCGGCAGCATCGCCTGCACCTTCGCCGACACCGACGCCCAGAAACACATGATCCCCTGCACGTTTTCCAGGATCGCGTACAGGGGCTGTGTCTGCGCCACCGCCTGCAGGCACGCCACGAACACCCGAGCACGGGGATCGCTCCATCCCCGTCGCCTGCGCCCGCCTTTGCGCCGCATCCGGGACCATGGCTGGCAGGGAAACCCTGCGAAGTAGCCGTGGATGCGCATGTGCGCCAGCGCCGACGCCTTCCTGGCCAGGACATCCCCGAAAAAGCTCCCGGCAGGAGCATTCGCCCGGCAGAATGAGCCTGCTCCTTCGCAGATGTCGCTGGCAAACACAACGCTATGCTGAAAACCCAGCTCTCTCATCGCCAGCACCTCCGCAGACATGCCGCAGCAATCACTTCCGAGCGCCTGCGCCGGCGGCTGCGACAGCTGCAGCCCGTTGCTTTCCAGGACATCCCGAGCTGCTGCCTGCATTCGCTTTCGGGTGGTACTTCCCCACCCCCGGAGGAACTGCTTAAGCGGAGTTGGCAAAGCCATCCCCACGCCGTCTCCCGCGATTCAACGTCTGCAGCCACCGTTCAGAAAACTTTCTGGACAACGTTCTTAGTGTATGTTAATACAACAATGGACATAAACATACTGAGATAATACTAATTCATATTAGAACGTGAACATACAATGTGATGTACATCTCAATATACAAAAACTATTCATTGTTATGATATACATCATACCGGCTCTCATCAGTCTCAAGCACACTCGTGCTACAATCATGTACACGGATCCTGACATGAAAATGGTCATGCATAGCCAAGACAACTGTCAGCAATGCAAGTGCGGGCCAGGCAAGCTTTGTTTTGCTCCCACCAGCGCCTGCTCTGTTGCTCCCAGCCTTGCCTGGCTGAAGTGGCTGAAAAGACGATCTAAGCCGCGCCCGCGCCGGCATCACGAACCGCCTGTGCACTCGGCATCCATGTAAGCGCCGCGCCCGCGCCGGCGTCACGAACCGCCTGTTCACTCGGCATCCATAAGCGGCACTTCGTCCTCCTCGCCATCCTCCTCGTTTTCGCCCTCCTCGTCGCCGTCGTCGCCGCCGCCATCCCCGCCATCGCCTGCGACCACATCCTTGAAGTGGAGCTGGATGAGGTCCGCCAGCGACTGCGTCCAGAGGGCATGCCCCTCTGTCGCCGCCAGCGCCAGCGCCTGCCTGTCCACCAGGTTCTCCAGCCACTTCCGGTGCTTCTCGTTGCCGCAGAAGCCCGTGTACCGGATGCCCATGGACAGGCACGCCGACGCCAGCGCCCCAGAACCAGGTGACAGGTCGACGACATCCTTCACCATATGGTTCTTCACCAACGCCTGCCACACCGCCACACCCTTGGACTCCTGCCAGAACAGTGGCACGCCCGCGCTTGCGCCCTCGCCATCCGCCCACGCATCCGGTGCTCGGTCCGCCGGCGCCGCATCCGCCTTCATGCCAAGGATCTCGGCCTTGTCCGCCCACGCCAGCTTGGGAAGCTTCGCCGACGCCAGGAACGGCACGTTCACGTAGTTCGTGTCCGCCGTCGTGACTTTCGCGCCAGCGCCGCTGCTCTTGGAGACAAAGTCATCCTGCTTTCCAACTATACATACCAAAAAAACTCAATACTATATTCATTCAGGGAAACCTTGATATCCTAAACATATGATATGAAAAACTGAAACATCCGTATGCTGCCTGCCGCTCCACGGCGGCCAGGCGTACGCGCGGCGCCGGCAGCTTGACGAAGATGATCTCCTTGTTCACCTGCCCGCCCACCACCTGCCGCGTTGACGCCCGCACACATGGGCCTGCGAAGCTCACCCAAAGCTCGAAGAACTGCGTGTATAGTCCAGGTCCTTCACCAGCGCCTCTTCGATCGTCGCACGTGCCGCGCGACAGCGCCCATCGCCGACGAAGACGAAGTCGCACGACCCTGCCAGCCCCTTCAAGAAGGCGCACTTCTGCGAAAACCGCTGTTTGACAGAGCCGCTCATCTCTGACACCTGCGCCCAGCCCTGCTTCTCCTCATGCTCCAGGTCGGCCATGAGAAAGTAGCCGCGGTGCTTCTCGTTCAACTTCCCGTGGAAGTTGCCAGCTCCGCCTGCACCTGCACGGGCCAAGGCCGACTGCAACGCCTCCTTGGTGCACGCCTGTGGCAGCACCAACAACTGGCACAGGCCTTTTCTGAGCCCCCGCGCCTTTGCCAACACCTCCGCCCGCTCTCGGCGAGTAGTCTCCCTGACCTCCTCCAGGTCGTCGCCGGCGGCGCACTTTTGCATCAGCAGTGACAAGGGTGCCGACGCCAGCGAGTCCTCCTGGATCGAATCAACCGCCACCACGCCGGTGCTCAAGCCGGAAACCCCTCTGTCCAGGGTGTCCAGGGCCTCCCGCCAGTCCTTCAGCACGGGGTTGTCGCCTTCGCCTGCAAGGAGTTGCGCGACCAAGTCCTCTTTGTCATTGAAGGTTTTGAGGTCCGCGTCGTAGCCGCCGCCCAACAAGTTGCTGACGTACGCGATGAAGTCGGCCGCGTAGCCTGGCGGGACCGCGTCCTTGGAGGAAAACACAGCAGACCAGAGGCCGTCCTCTGAGACTTTCACAGACTCCGCCTCCGCTGCTTTCGCCAGCGCCTGCCTCGCCTTCCCCAAATCATTGATCTGCTGCAAGGCATTGCTCGCCCACGCCTCCTCCGAGGTGCTCAGCACGCCGCACACCTTCCCCAACACCGCCAGCTTGCAAAGCGACATCGCCACCCAGCCCACGCCAGCGCCGGCGCCTCTGCCGCCCTCGAAGAAGTCGGAGGTCGCGTCCTGCGCCTGCAGTTTCTCGCCGTCCACCTCAACAAGCAGGAGGTGCAGCAGCTGTTCCTGGGATGTGTATAAGCAGTGTATGCCGAATAAGGAGGAACTCAACATCTTAGCTTATTATAAAGACATAGACACATGGCATGTACAAAACTTTATACCAGTAGTGCCACCACCGGATCGATGGCTTCTGAGTTGTCCGCGCCAGCGCCTGCGCGTCGCATCACGTTGTGCAACTTGGAGTGGCCTTCCGTCAAGAACGCGCGCCCGGCCTTGCTTTCCAGCTCCTGCAACAACGCCTGCGCCTTGTCTGACAGCTGCGCAATCGCCAGAAGAGCGTAGTGCAACATTCGATACACCGGCTTCCCCATGAAGTTGAGGCCGATCGCCTTCCAGTGCTCCAGCTGCTTTCCGATTCCTTTCACCTTTGAGGATAAAAGCAACTCACACAGCATACATACCAATACTACATATAATCATATCAAAAATTAATTGAATAGGTAAAGCATGCGTTGGTATATTAATATTGTTTTCCAATATGACAAATCACCCCACAATTCTCCACGATGATCTGGAACTTTTTTGCAAACGTGATGACGTTGTCATCCGCCACCGCCAGCACCTGCTTTTTCTTGTCTGTCGCCTGCCAGAGCATCAGCGCCAGCGCCTGCTTGCTCGTCCCCACATACAGGCGGATCGTGACTGTCAGTGCACACTCGTACAGAAGTCGGACGCGGTCCTGGTTCTCCGCCCTGAGGGCGGGTATAGAGGACAGAAATGTCCTCCACCCAGGCACTCAAGGTTGCCGGAAACACCACCCGCGCCAGCTCCTGTGCCTCCTCAAAAAGAGGCTTCAACTCCTCCACCTGCGCCCATGTGCAATCTTGCACAGGCAGCACCTCCTGCGCCCGCGCCCCCGCCGGCACCCAAAACAGGCTCCCAGCGGCCTCGTACAAGCCGGAGGCCCGGGCCGCTGTGGCGCAGTTGCGCGGGCACCACTTCTCCTTGAAGGATGCAACGCCCCCGCCAGCGACATCCCTGTCCTTGATCGACAGCGGCTCAAGCTCAGCCAGCGCCGGCGCCTCATCGTAGAAGCCCATCTTCACCAGCGCTTCGGCCAGCTTGTACTCGACCTCACCAAATCAAAGCTACAAAAGAAATAAATACCCCGTGAGCTAAACAAGTCCAAACAAGCAACACACAACCTGTTCCTACAGACTCCGGAACCTAAGAAAAGTTGGGGTGACAGGGAAGAGCCTGGGTTTGGGTGATTATGTTCCGAGAACCGCGTTCTTCTCAGAGAAACCTGGTTTTCCAAGAGAACCCTCTTTTTAGATTGTGCGATTCAGTTATGTAAGGGCTGAAGTGATCTTAATACAGGCACAAAGCCCGGATCTTCAGCAGATCTTGGCTCGGCTAGCTCTCTTTTTCGAGGGCCACATCATCGAATGATGCCGGAAGCCCAGGCAGCCGTCTGTCCTGCGTCAGATTGCTTTGAACGTGATGTGCTCCATATGTAATTGCAGCCTTTTCTAGGGTGGTGCTTTAGGCTTTGTAGATCGAAGTGCCACGATGGCGGAGCCTGAACGGTTCAATGTGGAGGGCTTGGCAGCGTGTTGGGACAGTGAGCAGGGCATTCGGGAACGGGTTCGCAATGGAGAAAGCTTTATCGTTCCGGTTACTGATCAGAACTTGGATGCTTGCAACAAGCTTGCGATCGCTAACTGTGATGTTATGGGGCCAATTCTGGTGAGAATGACAGCCTGTGCTTTGAAGCTGCCAGATATCGATCCGCTTCGTGGGGCTGTGAATGCACTTTATTTGATGGCTTCAAGGGAAGTTTCGGAGTCTCATGTCGACGACGAAGCTTGGGCTATCCGGCATTTGGCCGGGTTCGTGAAAAGGAAGACACAGAAGAAACTGGTTAGCTTGGACTCTTAGCTTCAATAGCGGATGACGTAGTTTCGATTAGATATGTCCGTGCATGTACAATACGTGCATTACGATCCTTCTCAGAAGCCGAGGATCCAGATTTCCAAGACATGTGCCTCATCCTCAACCCGGAACTTGAGGACACAGTGCATGTCGGCAGTCTGTGCTTTCTTTAACTAAAAAGTATATGAATTCTGCGACGCATGCCATACAAAAGATCAGACTGTTAAGCAAACTGGGCAATGCACTCTAGGTTTGTAGAGTCTCAAAGGTCTTTGACTTTATTTATGTCATCCATCCCTGTACCTGCTTCTGCTTCATGATCTGTGGCAGGACTACGTCCAAGGGATTCGTGATCGTTGCCAGGCTGGGACGGATTCTAGGTTTAAGTGTGGCTATATCGGCTATATGTGAGTGCGACATTGCCTTGTGGTGCATCAAAACTTTCGCGTGCAGGAGGCTCCCGGAGCTAGTGGAGATCCACCTTCTGTGGCAGGTGATGCTGAGGACCTGGGCCCTGATAGGGCCTCAATGGAAGGTGCAGTGGAAGCTACCAATCCTGGTCAGTTCTCGATGCCAAGTGCTGTGGTAGCCCCCGTGAGCAATCCTGGTCAGCCCTTGATGCCAAGTGCTGTGGTAGCTGCCCCCACAAGCAATCCTGGTCAGCCGAGTGCTGTGATAGCCCCCGTGAGCAATCCTGGTCAGCCCTTGATGCCAAGTGCTGTGGTAGCTGCCCCTACAAGCAATCCTGGTGAGCCGAGTGCTGTGATTGGTCAGCCCTTCGCGCCAAGTGCTGTGCTAGCTGCCCCAACAAGCAATCCTGGTCAGCCGTTGATGCCGAGTGCTGTGCTAGCTGCCCCGACAAGCAATCCTGGTCAGCCCTCGATGCCGAGTGCTGTGGTAGCCCCCGTGAGCAATCTGGCAAGCAATCCTGGTCAGCCCTTGATGCCGAGTGCCGCGATAGCCCCGACAAGCAATCCTGCCCAGCCCTTGATGCCGAGTGCTGTGGTAGCTCCTACAAGCAATCCCGGCCAGCCCTTGATGCCGAGTGCTGTGGTAGCCCCGTTAAGCAATCCTGGTGCTGTGGTAGCCCCGACAAGCGATCCTGTGCCATTGTCCCCACCAGTTACTCCGGTTGCTGTGGCTCCACGTGTGGTTTCGACAGACAGCCAACCTGTGTCTGTGTGGGATGAGCCTTCACCAGTCTCGGAACCGGTTGTTATCAGAACCCCTCCACCAGCACTACGTTGCGCAGCCCCGACTTCCCCAACAGCACCATTGCGGCCGGTCGTTGACCCGAATCCCAAGCCGACTTTCGAAGCAGCAGGCCAGAGCGAGTATAGCAGTTGATGCACGTGTCATGTAGTCTGTTTTTGTCCTGTTCTTGTTGGCTTGGTAGGCCCTTCTGATCCTCGCAAGCTTCAGCTGGAGATGATGAAGCGGCAGCTTCTTGAGCTGCTTGTATAGCATTGTGCACAAGTCGTGGTTCTGTCTTCAGCTTTCAGAACAGATTCAGAGTGCTGCAATGTCTTAAATTGCCCAATATAAGGATTCAGCTCAAGAGGAGAAAATTCGATCCTACCTCCCCGTTGTCCTTCGCATCAGCTGCAGCCGCATCCCCGGCTCCTTCGGCAGTGGAAGCAGGCCCAAACGTGAAATCGATGTCACCGAGTTTTTGTAATCCTATATTATATATTGTTCACATCACTGACTGTTGTGATCACGGCTACCAATCAACTAGATTGCTTGCACATGCGGTTTGTGTGATATCCATGCAACTATGCAGGACCGGTGGTGCCTCGTGATCCGGTGCTGGTCACGCCTACACGGGTTCCCGTTGATGAGGCCGAAACCCAGCCCTTCGACATCACCTCACTTACTCCGGACTTTGAAAAGCACTCCAGAACTCCCATCCGTGTCCCAAGTACAGATGATGTTGAGCTCAAGCGCTTCAAGTACCAGCATCCGGGCGAGGTGTTGCCCACAACCCGTGTTTTGAGCCCACCAGAAGAAGTTTCTGCTGCTGCGCCTGCTGCTGAGCCTTTGCCGCCGCCAGCAGAGGCCGGCTTGGTATTGGTTTCATCGGGGGTTTTACTTCTGACTTCGTCTGGATTTGCTGAAGAAATCAGGATGGAATGTTTTAGTTGAATATTAAGACTATATGCGAGACCTCCTATGCAAACTTCGGCAAAGCAGATCCCACGCAGCCTCGGCAGGTCTTTGGTCGGCGAGACCAGCTGGGCCTCAGGCAGTCGATTAAGGCAAAGCACTTGGAATCTGCAGGTGATGCTGCAGGGCAAGGGGAAATTACTGGTCCGGGTGGTTATTTTGATGGTGTGGATGAGGGCGAGCCCGATGCTCCGAAGCCCAGGAATCTCAAGCGAAAAAAGAGCCTGAAGGGCTTGAAGGGAAAGCGGGGCCGTGGGCTCAAGAAGCTCAAGTCTCTGAAGGGACAGAAGCATGACAATGGCTCTGGTGGTGTTGATGCTCCTGAGCTACCTCATGATGGGGCGCCCCTGGGTGAGGATGATCTTGGGCATGATGAAAGCGTTGATCCACCAAGCACCCGAGTCACGGGAAAAGCAGCGCCAAAGAAGGCCCCCAAGGCAAAGGCTAAGGCGAAAGCCAAGGCAAAAGCAACGGCAAAAGCAAAGGCCACCCCAAAGTGCAAGGCCGCAGCTGCTGAGTCATGCGAGACCGACACCATCAAGCCAAGACCCAAAGGGAAAGCCAAGGCCAAGGCCAAAGCTTCCAAGGACGATCCATCGGAGCCGAAGCCCAAAAGCAAGGCCAAAGCAAAGGCGAAAGCCACCCCAAAGGACAAGCCGGCCAAGGGTACCAGGGGCCGAAAGGCATTGCCTGACGGTGAGCCGGACCAGGCCGATGTGGATTACATGGTCTCCTACTTCCAGTCCTTTGAGGATCTTGAGGACAGGGATGCTCTTAAGCAACAGGTTCGGGACCACATGCCATGTTTCGAGTATGTCGCACTGGACATCTATTGGAGCCGCTACGGGTGTGGGTTGTCGATGTACTACGGGGAGTCTCGGAAGGCTGATTCCAAGAGGAATGTCGGCTACTTTTCCTACGGCAATTGTGATGCTGGTCTTCTGGTAGCCATTGCCTGTGCGATTTCCCTTGCGCCTTGACACTTATAGTCGTATGTGCACCACTCATAGGTAGCAAGGCCTTTTATGTTTGTCTGAGTCAAGTATATGGTACAGGTAAAGACGATCTTCATATTGGGTTTCTAATTTTCTCGGATCCTGCCACCCTATAAACCTCTTACTTGAGTCCCGTCCCCTAAACCTTCCAAGAACTGCTCAGGGCTGGTTCATCGAAGAGCACAGCATCAAGGACCCCGAGCTCCCTGCCATCACCGAAAAGGTCCAGTCTTTGAAGGCTTCCGGCAGACAGACCTTGGAGAGTCTGGATGCATAGGCCAGCAATCAATGCTCTGATTGCGATTTTGGCAGAGCTGCAAAGATGCAGTTCCTTTGGGGCTGTCTGTTGATTGATCAGGTCATAGTAACCGGCCGATCCCGTCATCAGCTTGGGTGTGCAACAAGCACAATTCCGTTTCGAGTGTTGCCTTTCATTGTGTGCACACTGGCCTGGTGCTTATACATATGACTTTACTTGAGTCGCTGCAGTCTGTATAGGACAAACATCGTTTCATTCCGGGATCTTTAATCAGAAAGGCCATAGGGCTGGCAGTGAGGCCTAGATGTGCATCATATGAAAGCCAGATGGCCGCAAAGCTTTTAGATGAAAGCTTGTCTGTGTGTGTGGGTGCCGGCAAGGCAGAACCTTGGGAGCCTAGGGAGCCTCCTCTAACCGTCGTTCTGCTTTGTTGTGGTGCATTCGACAAAAAGTGGGTGTCCAGTGCATGTAGCTCCTTCTGCACTCAAAATACAGTCGGCGCTTCTGTACTTCGGTAAGTGGCTCTAAGCGACATCGGCCGAGGTCCTGGCATGCCTCGGCTGAAGATCTCGCACGCTCGCCGTGCACGAAAGCGAATCTGCAAGAGGCGAAGCCAGCCCGCCTGGATTGATGTGCTCACACTCTGTGCTGTTCGCTGCTCCATCTGATGTGTGTGTACGGCTTTATCTTGCTGCACTGCTCATGTGTTGCGGGCAATGACATGCAGCTGGTGGCCCAAAGTTCTACGTAACAGAGCTGCCAAAACCTTTCGGTCATGGTAGCTGCGGATGATCTCGTGTTCAAGCTTCTGGCCTTGAGAGCTCCGAAAGAAGCTTGTGCCACATGTACCTGGCACACACAGTTTGAGTCATGTGTTGCAAGGTGACTGAAACCACATTCGGGCATGTGCAGCATCTCAGGAGTTTATTGCACTGGTTCTTATGATCATCTGGATGAAGGGGCTGTTCAACCTGACGGAGGCTTGAACTCCTGCTCTTAATTACAGCTAGTTGTGCATGGTGCAATTAATGGCAATGCAGCAGTGTCGTACTGTGCTGAAGCAAGAGATTCAAGTTTCCCAAGGTTTTCGAATGGGTGGAGTTCTTCGCGGGTTCTGCGAGATGCACATCAATGGTGAGACTTCAAGGCCATCGAGGTGCAAAGCTTGATAAGAAGTATTTCGAGCAGGGCACCAAAGGCTCGAACTCGAACTACTACGACATTAACACATCTGCAGGCTTTGCGTGTTCCGGCAGCAAGTTAGACAAAAAACCTTCCGGGATTAATTGTACTACTCTCTCTTTCCCTCTCTGTCTCTGTCTCTCGCTCTCTCTCTCTCTCTCTCTCTCTCTCTCTCTCTCTCTCTCTCTCTCTCTCTCTCTCTCTCTCTCTCTCTCTCTCTCTCTCTCTCTCTCTCTCGACTCTCTACCTCTCACTCTATTTCTCTCTCCGCCTCTCTGTCTATCTCTCTCTCTCTCTCTCTGTCTCACTCACTCTCTCTCTCTCTCTCTCTCTCTCTCTCTCTCTCTCTCTCTCTTCTTTCTCCTTCTCAGAGGTTCCTACATATAGGGCCTATATTATTTAATTGTAACAAACGATGATAGTTACGTAGATAGATATCTAGGTAGGGATATTTAAACCCCGAGCCCCGGCCAAAGCCTGCTTGAATCAGAGCACCCTTGCCTTGGATCAGTGCTACCCACATAGCAACCTAAACTGTGCCTATAAACCGTGGCCCCAAGGCCGGCAGATCTGTTCGAGGAATCAAATAGGAATCTAATCCCCCGCGCCAGCCGCCCAAACAAACAAGCATAAGCAAACCAATAAACCAAATCCCAGCCTGCCCCGAAGCTGAGAGAGAAAGGAGCAGGACACAGAGAGAGAGAGGGAGAGAGAGAGAGAGAGAGAGAGAGAGAGAGAGAGAGAGAGAGAGAGAGAGAGAGAGAGAGAGAGAGAGAGAGACAGAGAGAGAGAGAGAGAGAGAGAGAGAGAGAGAGAGAGAGAGAGAGAGAGAGAGAGAGAGAGAGAGAGAGAGAGAGAGAGAGAGAGGGAGAGAGAGAGAGAGAAAGAGAGAGAAAGAGAGAGAGAGAGAGAGAAAGAGAGAAAGAGAGAGAGAGAGAGAGAGAGAGAGACAGAGAGAGAGAGAGAGAAAGAGAGAGAGAAAGAGAGAGAGAAAGAGAGAGGCAGAGAGAGGGAGAGGGAGAGAGAGGGAGAGGGAGAGGGACAAAGAGAGTTGGCACACGAATATGTGTGCATGTTCTTACATGTGAACACAAGCAAGCCTTCCTGAAGCCTGACCGAAGCAACTAGCCAAGGTTAGCCATCGTTGCCATCTTGAAATGCAAGCCACATGACTTTGTTATTTGGTTGGCTACCCAATGTGGTAGTTGGACAAGCATAAACAAGGGCACCTCCCGAAGATCAGCCGCGGATTCTCTGGGCAACAGCAAAGTACCTTCTGTCATTGAGTCCAACCGAATGGTCGAAAGGCCATTGATGCTCTGGGATTTGCACTTTTCAATCCTTTTACATGACCGACCATGCATGAACCCCGCCTCGACAGCCTGTCCGTGCAGGTGCTCCTGTCTGACTCTCCTGGCAGTGGCTTTGGGTGGCTGCTTCGTCTTGGAGCAGCCAGGGAGCTCAGTGCTTGAGTTCTATCCGGCCTTTCGGCACGCTTTGACTTCCATGGTCATGGTGTCTGGGGTTAATTCGGAGGGGGCCTCAGTCGTGACATGTACCCTAGGACCAGGCACTCCCATGTAACTACAGTAGCACTGCCAACCCTTAAACTAATCCCGTTCAGGTTTGCCGTGTGGGCTGGTGGATGGGGCATTACAATGCCCGATCAGCAAAAAGGCAATATGCCTACTCCAATTCTGCGGCTATCCGGAAGCTGAACCTAGGTGCTCTCAAGGCCACAGCCCGGAAGAAGATCAAGCAAAAGGTAGCAACAACGATTAGGTCCCTGGGGCCTGATGGAGCCCAACGATACACTGCATCGAAACACTTGAAGCCCTCGGAGATCTTCTGCTACTTTATGTATATAGGGCTTTGCTCCGGCTTTTTGGGGTTCGTTCGTTAGATCTTGAATTGTTGAAAGGTGCACCATAAGACTATTGAGTAGGTATGTGTATGTGTCCTGGGAAAGTAAATATTCTGCAAGCCATCATTTGATATCAACCCTCAACCTGAAACCGAGGATATATCCTCTACAGTTTGCAGAAGCCGTGGCCGACATCCTCGATGACTTGAAATCTACTTGCAAAGGCTGCCCCCGTCTGCCCGGCCAGGTTCCATCAGGCCTCGAGCTGTACGCCGCGGCCACAACGCCGGATGATGTGCGCCTCATGTACGAGACTGCTCAGCTTGGAGATGTCTACGATTATCTACGGGGTTGCAAGTACCTACACATCCCGGCAGAATGGCGATGTCTTTTCCCGGTACGTTAAGTGAGACCATACACAGCTGCTGGTGTTCTTGTTAGCTGTACAGTGGCCATGCAAGTGTTTGCTAGAAGGGCTGCCACCGGAGACAGATAGCTTCCTGTCGTTGTTTCAATTTTCGGTTATTCAATTCTTTGGTGGTTTGCTGGTTAAGTGGGATTCAAGCATTTCAGAGTTCACTGGGGCTCGTTGCCAATGGGTCCGACTCCTTTCCTACATACATACCTATATCTGTATGCATACATACATACCTACCTACCTATCGATCCTGTGTATGTATGTTGGTATGTATGTGTATAGTATGTCGTATTTATGTATATATGTATACCTGGATGGATAGGTATATAAGGTAGATACACAGGATCGATAGGTAGGTAGGTATGTATGACCTATATATGTACGACTAGAGCGACGAAAAAGAAACCAGTATGTAGATACCTCGAAGGGGAGCCTTTGTTGGGATTTGGGTACGTGTCTTGGATCACACTTTCGCCTTCGGTAGCTTCTCCATAGGAACGCCTAAATATATATAGCTTTATTGGTATATATAGTTAGGTAGAGTTCCTTTTGGGGGCTTTCAGGATCCAGGGCGGCTTCTGGATGGATTGGGCCAGGTTCCGGGTCAATTGGGAGGTCTGGTAGGTGCTTGTTGAGTATTACTAAAGGCATTTCGAGGGTCGTGGGCCGACGGGTTGCGGGAGCTTTTCCGGTGGCTTGCGGACCGCAATTATCCGATTTGCGCTTTTGCTGCTCTTAATCTAGTTTAACATAGTTTACATAGGAATTGAAGCGCAATTCTTGGGGTTTTATGGAAGAACCAGGTTCTACCCGTACTAGAACCCATCCTTACCCGTACTAGAACCCATAAAGCTTTACCCAGAACCAGGTTCTCAGCCAAACCCCGGTTTTGCCCAACCCGTACTGAAACCCATCTTTACCCGTACTACAACCCATCTTTACCCGTACAGAAAAGATGGGTTCTGGGCTTCGTGTATTATATAGAATTTAGCAGGGTTTTAGCCAAATCTTACGTGGTTTAAGAACTTCCTACAGCAGCCGGATGCAATCGAACGCCTCCCGAACAGTCGCGCAACCGCAGAACCCAAAACAACTGGCAGATTGTGCCTGCTGAGTCGCGGATGATGCCTGCTCGGTTTCGCCAACATACATGATTGTATGCAAGTCACTGCACGCAAGGCACCATGACAAAGGCTTTTTGTGCTCAGGGGACCACACAAAGGCCCTTTTAGCTTCGAGCCCCCGCCATGTCGAAGCAGTGGAGCTGTGCAACACTGGGAGCAGGGTATCAGGTTGTTATGCGAGAGGAATCCGATGCCCAGTTAGCCCTCCAAGAAGATCTGCTGAAGAGGCAGATAGAGGTTTCTCGCCGCACCAAATTTACCAATCTAGGGAAAGTGTTCAAGTTTTGGTTCAACCGATATCTATATACATACCCAAAGAACTACTTAATTTTGTCTAGCACCATAGACACATAATTGAAACAATGCCTTCGCCCGCCCTAGGAGATGGAACGACTCGCTTCGATTCCGATGGTGCCCTGCACGACGGCGGCCTCTGCTCCCTTGCAGGTGCCACCCATTCGACCTGGGTTCCAGATTAAGTAGATGCTGTGGGGTGGCATGATACCCGACAACATATAGAGGTTTGTTATATGCCATATATGTACTTCATAAAGATGTATGTACCTACTTATTGAGTGCACGTGTGTGTGTGTAATATGTATGCATGTATGTATGTATGTACCTATGCATGCAGGCAGAGGATAGAGCATAAGTGACTGTGACCGTGCTCGGATAGACGGGTGAAGGGCGCAGGTTAAAGACGCAGATGGGTTTGGTCAAGGATAGAGCATGCTATACTGATCATGCATGTGTGTATGTGTCTCGTCATACATGAATGTATGCATATGTATATGTGTATATACATGTTTGCACAAAAGACTGAAAGTGGACCACATGTACGTATACATACAGATATATTCATATATATATATATATATATATACACACATATATGTATATATGTACTGGGCAGTCTGTGTGCACACCTGTGTGTCTTAGATCGTGCAGTGACCATTTATGTCCATGCAAGCAGTATACTAAGTATACTGTGTTCAGGCACACATGCATGTTGGCATTTGTATCTGTATGTATGTACATATGGATGCATGCATGCATGTGTCTATACATATAGGTGTGTGTATGTGTGCAAATGTAAATATACATACATGCATTTCAGCTCTACAAGTATATGATCTTTGTTTGCTTCTGGGTTTCAGGGGGTACATGTGTCTATGTACATGCATCTACACATGTAACACATCTATACATGTTGTGTATATATATACATCTATATATATACACATGTGTGTATGTGTAGTATGTATACGCATGAGCTTGAATATACGCCGTGCACCTAGGACGATCAATTCACTTGAGCTATCTGAGGCCTCAGGTGAGCCCTGCGATGACACCACGACAATCCCTGCAACAGCTACGGGCTTATGTTATCGTGCATGTAATCTAGACTCCAATATATATATATATATATATATATATATATATATAGATGTCTGCTGTCTTCAGTTCTTAGGACGAAGAGTTGAACGAGAATCTCAACAACATGAGTGATCAAGCTCCCCCTCCGGTTGCTGTGCAGACTGCTCAAGTTGCTCCTGCTGAAATGCAGGCAGGGCTTTGTGGTTTCAGGGTTTAACGCTGTCTGTTCCTGAAATATTAGTTCACACCCTATGTATAGTGAATGCCACAGCTGAGGATGGCGCTCAGGAAGCGGAGGCCCCGATCACGGAGCCACCTGCCAAGAAACCGAAGAAGGAAAAAACCCGAAAAGACCCTTGCTTCAAATATCGTCGATGGTTGTGTTTGGTTTTGCAGCAGTACTCAAATGCTCCCGTCTATGTATAGGAACTGCTTCGAGAAGCAGTACGTGCCCGCATCCTGCGAATGATCCGTCCCAAAAAGAGACGAACGGACTTGGCCGTACCGGCCTATGTGGGCGAGCGGTGGAATAGTGGTACTGCCGCGAAAACGGAAATGGAGGATTTGCTTCTCGAGACCAATGGAGACAAGGATTGGGGTATCCTGAGCTCTAGAACTCTATGTGGGGCCCATGTTGTGTGCTTGTTGTTCGAACTAATTATCTGCTGGAGGACAAGTTCATGTCCGAGCTGCTACTCATCGTGAAAAAAATCAAGAAGTTTGTGGTGAAGAGGGACCAGGGATGGTACACAGAACTGGAGATGAAGAATGATCTTGGATGGTCTGCGCCGGGGTCTCACCAGTGTCCGTAGTTAAGGCATCAGAAGACTTATCCGCACTCAATCTTCCTATGCGATCTGCTACCTGCCGCTGCCTGCCAAGGGCCCGGATCCAGGGAGCCAAGAAGCTCTGTGAAGCTGACCCGACCTTGCACAGGTGCACATTGTGTTTCAACAGTCCACGCCACGACATGCTGTAATTACTATAGCATTGTGCGATCTTGTGTGGGAGGCGGAATCAATATGATGGCCAATGGGAATACTATGTTACCGTTCGGGAGACGGCTGTGCAGACTCAGTCGCATGAGGTTCAAGAAGAGCAACGGCAGTATCAAAAGGTGAGCTTGGCGCAATTACTGCCATGTCCTCTGATATCTCAAACACTTCAGTGCATGATGTCAAGGCTTCGAAACCTATCGAGTTCAAGCCTGACGAGTTCCAAGACCTGGACAAGGCCATGGCTCGTGGCAGCCTGCCGGACTCTGCGGCCGGGAAGGAGGCATCGGTCCTGGAGGCTGCCAACATATCAAGCAATTTTAAGTTCTCAGGCAGTCTTCATGATGACCTGCCGAATGTTTGTGGCTGGTGTGTGTAATCCTCACTATGTAACCCCTGGCCAGCACAAAGCGACGGCTGAGCGCTTCATGGATTCGCTCCTGGCGAAGTGCACGAAGATCCGTGGGCTGATCAAGGACCTGAAGGCCAACTATTCGCAGGATTGCCAGAAGTGTCTTACCCTCCATACCCAGTTGCCTCGGATTGTGCTTTCAAGTTTTATAATGTGTACAGATCGCATGCTTCCCACAAGCAGCCGAGGCATGTGGATGGATTGCAAGAGCACGTCTCAAAGCTTGAGACAGAGCACGGCAAACTGACAGAGCAGAAGGCCAAGGGCGAGGTGGAGGGTTTCAACACAGGGCCCGGGACTCAAATCCTCCATGTTCTAGACCAGTTGACTGTATAAATCTACAAGTTCACTGGCTGCTCTTCCCAGCTTCTGAGCTAGGTCCATTTTTGCACTATGGTGTTTTGATTCTGGGAAAACTATACAACTGCTGCAATCATATCTGCTTGTGCTGTCGAAAGTAGAACAGCCGTTGAACAGTCTCTCTTCAGTGTCACCATGATCGATTGCTTATGTTGTACTAACTATACTTAATGCAACCAGTACATTGTCGTGAACGACAGTGGTATCCCAAGAAATGATTTCAATATTGACCTGAAACCACCCCGCCTTTGCATCTACTGGTGATGTCCTTCTTGATTTCACCCGTGTTTGTATTCGTGGGATCGGAAGAATCATGTTGAGCATGCTACTGCTGCTGCTGCTGTTGATAATATTGATGATTGGTGGTGTCGGTTAATGGAGTACTGTCGCTTCTGTTATTGTCGTTCGTTGTGCTGTGGCCGTTGTGGTGCTGGTGCTGCATGGTGCTTGCAGTGATCATAGCGCTGGAGCAGTCGGAACTAGTTGAGGTGTTATGTCGGGTGCTGTTGTTGTTACGGTTGCTGTTGTTGCTGCCTGCTGGCTGCCTGCTGCCGCTTTTTTATTGTCAGTTGCGGCCTGAATGTAGCCAAGAAGTCTCTAGCATCCTGCTTCTTAGGTGGTGGGTGGCAATGGACAAGTTGATCCGAGCTGCCACTTATGTGCCCACAGCTTAGGTGCCTAGCTGCCTTGTTTGTCCTAAACCCTGAACAAAAGCCGCCTGTCGAGGTCCAGCCGTGCCACGGCCTCTGAACTGCAGGTTCGGTGGCTGGGCTTCTGAAAGAGTTCGGCTGTTAGCTTGGCAAGGATAGGTTATGCAGCTGTCCACAAGCCAAGGAATGCCAAAAAGTTCTACGAGAAGAGCTCGGCCAACCCTGGAGGAGGTGGGACAGACCGTGCCAGGGCGCCAAAGGCCAAGGCCAAAGGCCCGGCCAAGGGTGCTGCAAGGAAGTAGGTACCTATAGGTATGGTTTCCCACACTAGCTGTTGTGCCAGTGTTCTGCTTCAGCTCCAGTCTGTTCACTACAAGCATGCGACGGCTGGATGATCATAGTATGGATGTGTGGGCATGGCCACACATTCTTTTTCTGAGCCCTGTTTGTGTTGTGCTCGCATTTGGTTGCACATAAGCCCGTAGCTAAAGTTCCATCCAGTTTTCGCCATTGCATGCAATCTAGCTGTTGTGGCTGCTTCGCATGTGATGTCTTCTAGTAAACTCCTGAAGTAGAAACGGCTCACGTGAGCACAACATACACGTGCTCTTGACGAAGTTCCTGGGTGCGCTACCCAACACCGGTGGCAGTGGATCTTAAAGGACCCTGGGGATCAGCGAGGTTCCTGTAGGGGACAAATCAGGATCGTTGAAATCCCTGGGCTGTGATCCGCACAAGCTGTGCTACCGCTTGACAAAAACGACTTCCGTCCGTGTGAGATCTGCGCCAGATGATTTCATTGCACTCCTTACCGCAAAGCTCGCATATCTATCCCCCGAATACATATGTTAAGGCTACATGTACTTGCTCGATCAACCCTCCAGCCAGGTACCGGGCCAGCCATTCGGCAATTTGCACAATCGGTCGGCGAAGGTGCCCGAGCCTTTGAGTGACAGGCTGCATGGATGCTGTGTGCACAAAGTTTATTTGCCGCTCCAGATGCTATCCGAGCTATCAGCTATATATCCCCAAACTCCTGAGCACAAGGGCTCAATCGATGTTATGGTGCTAGGATTCCGGTGCATGATAGCATCTATATCTATTGTACACTGCCATGCACTAGCTGTCTCTCTTTAAGCTGCATCCTGAATGGAGAGCCCCGAAAGCGAGCTCCGTGATCTTCTGCAATGCCACAGATCCGTGCCCTGCTTGCACGTGATGCACTGTTTATGTGTCTTGGGAGGGTCGTGTGTGAACAAACCTAACACGGCCTGGCTGTTTGAGGCTGAAGACGGGCCCTTCCCATGGCCAGCACTGACAGTGCCGGCATCCGCATCGACCCCGCCAACAACCAGCTCCAAAATCCCTGTGTCCCAGCCTGCAATGACTCGTCGAGCCAAGTGGAGCACATCCTGGCAGCAGCACGTGTCCGAGTCTGTTCTTTCGGATGTGGACTTGAAGGGGAATCTTGAACGTGTTTCTGAACATGAGAATATACACTGGCATTTGCCAGTTCAAGTCACGACAGCAGGCGGGGTCTTGGCTCACGCATCTCATGTCATCACTGTTCTTCTACATCATCATGCACCCATGATTTTCAAGGTGGGGTTCACCCACGACGCTTGCTGGAGATGGGAAAACTCAGTCTATGGATACCGAAGGGATAAAGGTCATAAGTGGGAGCATATGTGCATCCTGCACTTGTCCGAAGAAGCTGGTACACCATCCATGCTCGAAGCAGCCCTCATCGACAAGTACAAAGGCAACTCAGACTGCACAAAGGCTAGCATTGGCGCTGCTCATGCATATGTTGTGAAACAGAAATGCAATCGCTGCTGAGACGTGCCTGGATGCAAGAACATCAGATCTGGCGGCGACAATGTGAAGATGAACACGACGGCCTCAGCTTCCGTTTACATGACTTACGTGGTGTACAGGTCTTTTAAATTCAAACCGAAGTGACTTGTTTAGACTTGGTTCATTTCACACGAAGACGTGTGCAAGTTCACACGAAGATGTGTGCAGGGGCTGTGTCACCACTAGCGACATGTCGGGGAAAGGTGAAAACGATCTGCTGTGCAGTGCATCATGCAAGTGGTGCTTGTGCGCAAGTTGACCCAGCTTTTGAAATGCATAACTTCCCCTCCCTGCACCGGCCCCCTCGCCAAGGCTACCTGCAAATCGGTGGTGCGGTCGGCTCGGGCGACTGTTGAAGAAGTGCCAGCGGCAGCTTCATCTTCCCTAGGGCTTGCTGCTCGTTGCACTGAGCACAATGCTGAGCGAGACTTTCATAGAATGGCCCGACGAACTGGGCTAATGCTTCCAGTGCAAATCAGCCCTGTGATGTTGGATGAAGAAGTTGATGTGATAAAGCTATCTTCTTGGGGCCACTTCTTTTTGGAGCGGAATCTCTGGCACACGATGTGTGGGCTGCAGCAGCCAGATCATGACAGGTGTTGCTTTATTTGGGGAAGCTTTTGGGACAAATACCGTGCAATCGCTCCGTTGCACCCTGTTTTCAACAAAACAGCAGAGCAGTTGTCCCGGACCGTGGGCGTCCTCATCCACGGGGACGAGGGCAGGTCCAAAAAGAAGGCCCCGCTTTTGGTGATCTCGGCCCATTCCGTTTTAGGAATGGGCAGCGGTGTTGACTCCCATCTTCATGCCGCTGAGGCCTACGACAAACAAGAATTAAACTGGACAGGACATACTGCTGCAACTCGATGGCTTCTCAGTGTGCTCCCGCGATCTATGTACGACGACCAGCGATCGGACAACTACCAGCTCCTCCTCAAACACTTGGTCACCGACATGAAAGAGCTTTTTGAAAAAGGTCTCGTGGATCCCTTGACTGGCCACACCCACTACTTTTGCATTCTGAACATCATTGGAGACTGGCCATTTCTGGCCAAGTCATTCGAATGGACCCGGACATTTGGAAATTCGGCCAAGAAGGCCACGGCCAAAAAGGCGCCGACAGGAATCTGTCATGCTTGTTGGGCTGACAAGCCCGGATACCCGTTTGAGGATTTCGAAAGCGCCGAGCCGAGATGGAGGCAAACCCTCAACCGCGACGACCCTTACATCACCAAGCCGATCCTCATGGAGCTTCCCCACGATCCCGCAGACCCATCTGCTTTTGCAGGCCAAGACTACTTTCACGGGTTTCATCTAGGAGCCGGCAAAATTTTCGTTTCTTCAGGGCTCGCCCTCCTTTCAAGTTTGTTCCCGGGTACGAGCTTTCCAACTCGCTTCAAAGCCATGGAAACCGATCTATTCGGGTGGTGTGCTACATACAAGCAGTATCCGTATATCCGCAAGTTTACCAGGCATACCATCGGCTGGCCGCATACCACTGAGGCCCCTCTTGGAGGGTGGCACAAGGGCTCCACTACGTTGTGCCTGTTGCGCTGGTTTCTCTTTTGCTGTTGGCAGCGACGAGGCAGCATCACGAGCGGATCTCTTTTGCATCTGTGCTGGGAGGCTGCTTGGGAGATCGACATATTCTTCTCAGGCATCTACAGGCAGAAGATTTGGATTCAGGCAGATACGGCCAAAGCTTTGGGACTTCGGGGCATGCGTTTTCTTCAATTGAATGGACGATGCGCTCAAGAAGCCTTTCGGCAGGGGCTCCCCTTCTTCCAATACATGCCGAATCTACACAGGCTCCATCATCTGTTCTTCCAGTTGCTGGACCAGTCTGCTATGACAAACTACGTCCTCAACAACATGATCTTTTGTTGCCAGGTAGAAGAAGACTATATAGGACGGCCATCACGAGTTTCGAGAAGAGTCCACACGAGATCCGTCATATTGCGAGTGTTGCAGAGGACACTGGAATCTGCACAAGCTAGAATGACTGAGAATGGATGGCTAAGACGCTGATCCGGAATAGCAGCCATGCAAGGCCGAAGTTCGTTTGCATCAAGAGCATTACATATTTGACATATATAAACTATATAATAGTATGTGTGTTCTGCAAAGCCTTGAAGCTGCAGTCTCAGCCCCGGGCATCTGGAGCCCATGAAGAAGCACAGCTCGTCCAGCAAAAGGCCAGAAATCTTTGGGAGCATAACTGGGTGGCGGTTCGGGCCGTGGCCAAAAATATTTTCTCTACTGCATGGTTTGGGTGTGTTCATGTGTTCATCAGACCAATAATAGTCAAATCAAACGGACGTGCCATCAGACCATAGACACACACAGCAATGGGTCCCACTGTTGGAAGTGTTCTTCAGACGACGAATACTCAGACTGGGCAGACCGACCAGCAGCACTGAAACCCAGACGGACCGGCCACGCATGTAAGTGGAGCCCGACAATTTGCGTTCATGACTTCTTTTTTCCCGTCTGACCAGCTGCTGTTCATGACTTCTTTTTTCCCGTCTGACCAGCTGCCGTTCATGACTTCTTTTTTCCCGTCTGACCAGCTGCCGCCCTGCTCACTGCTGTTGCGGCAAGAGGCCTGAGCAAACAGGACAGTGAGAAAATAGTCGTCCTACCATGGATCCCTCTCTCACAAACACGGTGCAGTCCCGCCTGGGGTTTGTTGTTTTCGTCAGGTCATCAGACGACCTGGCCAAACACAGGGCAGGCAACATATACCTGTGAGTGCGACCGTGTTGAAACGGTCCAACCTTGCCTGACTGACCAATCGTCCCAAAGGGACCTGGCCAGCATCATCATGACTGAACCAGCATGCGTAGCTGACCGGCTGACAGACCGATGCACTTTAATTATCATTTACTGCTTCTTTCTTTTCCAAATCTCACACACAGATGATGCCACTGCCGTGAGATGACTGCTGCAACAGATACTGAATCTGACCTTGTTTGTCAGACCAAACTCCTGCTGCAGCACCCTCCCCCCAAAAGCGCTGCCAATGTTGGCAAGAACCCGCAGCTTCTTCAGCTCAGTAGTCTGACCTGGCGCTCTGCTACTAGACCTTCCAGGCGGTCCACGTCTTCCTGCAACCTCTTGTTGCTGGCTGTCCTTGGCTATCACAATACATGATCATCATCATACCGTCTTCAAGACTGAAATAAAACATGAAGTACAAACAAATAATAAAACATGCGCCGTGGCACAGATCCTCCACTTCTCCGACCTTTTCGTGATACGCCTCCTTGAGGTGTCTGTTCGCACTCCTGAGTGACCATGAAAGCACTGAATAATAAAAAGCAGCCCTCGCACAATGCTCCACTTCTTGCTGCTTTCGACACATGCCGAGCAGCCCCAGCTTGAACACACAGTCCTCGAGCGTGGCATTTAGTCGGAGCAAGTCTTTCCTCGGAGTTACGAAATGAAAACTGTGTTATTGTTGTCGTGGCAGACTAATGATGATAGTCAGTGCTGACTAGACTCAGCCTTTTTTTGTCAGCATCCGCCTGCTCCAGTCGGGCCACAAGCTCCTTTTTCTCTGCTTCCAACTTCTCTATCTGACCGGCCGAACGACGGGATCTGACCTTGTTCTGGCGATTCTTCTCTGCTTGTCTTATTTGAGCACGCCTCTTCTCCGACACCGGCTTCTTCATCTTCACTTGCACCAGTTCCACGTCCTCCTCGTCCGACCCTGCCTCCTCCTTTACCGGGTCGAGCCTCTCCTGCTTGACAGGAACCATCGCACTGGTGTTCTCCTTGTCATTGTCGGACCCGGACATGGCTGGAGACAGACAGACCACCAAGACGAAGTCTCGAGCAGACAGAAATTGGAAAGAGAGTGAGAGAAGCGTGTAGCGGCAGCTGCCTGTCATCATGAACAACATCACACACATGTGGCAGAGGCGACGGTCCAGCATCGTCTTTTTGTCGTACTTTGCATTTACTGCACACTGTAGCCTGCTCCGACCCAGCAGGCGCCCCGAAGGCAAGGCTGTGTGGCTGGACAGGTCAGGCCGAAGCAGAGTTCCAGTTGAACAATAACGAAATAATACAGTGTCCTATCACTATGTTGACGATGACGGTATTATAGCACTAAATAAATAAGAAGAACAGTCTTCATTCATTGTCAATTACTTACCCACTACTCTGCCGTCAGGCCTGGCTGACGGCTGACTTGTCAGGCCTGCTGCCTTGTCTTTCTTTTCTTAGATGTCTTTGACATCAGACCCATGCTGCTGCGGTCATACTTTGCAGGAGCATCGAAGATCGCCTTGAGTCTTGTTCGCAAGACAGGCGTTGCATCAGGCGCTGCCTGACCAATGAAAGGATTCTTCATAAACCTTTCGCGGTCAAAACTGCGCACAGTTCGCAGAAACGCAAGAGCATCCGACCAGCTGCCCAGGAGCACTTGGTCAGGCCCCGTCTTCGTGGAGCCATTGGTGACGGTCCACTTGCTGCTCTCGTCCTTCGACAGAGTAGTCAAGGCTTTCGCGAACTCCTTGTTGTCAGACCGAAATCCAGGTGTCATGACAAGCTCCGCTCTGGTGGTGATGATGGCGGACCTGTGCTTCAAGATGTGCCCGCTTGGCCGGCACAACCTCATAGCAGCATACTCACGTCGAGACACGACTGAGAGACCATAGGCGACCATACCAAGCTGCAGCACAAGCAGTGCGCTGTTGGGTCTGACCTCATGGGCTCGGGCCATGTGCACGTCTCTGGTCAGATCATCGACGACCACCACGCTGGCGCCCTTGAGAGACTTGAAGTCTCTCGTCTGACCAGGCTTCCATCTGACCACAGCGGCGTGCTGCTTGTCTGGCCACTGGGTCGCAGTCGTCGTACCATCGATGACCTTGTACTGGCCTGCTTTCGATGGCACGACATGTTTTGTTGTCGGACCCAAAATCTGACCAGTGCGCCGCTGCTGCAGACACCCACGTCCGACCATGAGCTGCTGCCTCTTCTTCTGTGTCTCCTTGTTGAAAGCCTTGAGCTTGTCGTTGACATCGCGTGGTCGGACCAGGAGCTTGGACAACCGGGTTCCAAGAACCGATGTCTGACCAGCCCTCGCCCGTGGATCGCTCGGTTGACTCTCAACCAAGAGCTTCACGGACGCGTTGCGTCTCTCAACAATGGACCGGTCGGACCCCGGCTGGGGTGCTCTTTTGATGCCCTTGTCAGACCTGACACGGTAGACGCAGAACCTGCGGCCAAATCGTTCCAACCAAGTCGAGGCCCACTCTCTGGTCCAGTCTGTCAAACCCATATGTTCGGCGTCTCTCTTGCAGACCTGATCGAGCTCGGTTGGGCCATCGAGCACGATGCTCAGCAGCTGGTCGATGGTCGTACCATTGTCGAGCAGCGGCCCACAATGTTTCTCCAGCAGAGACCGCGTCCGCCCAATGTTCTGCTCCACAGCCACGCTGGTGTGCTCGACGCTGACATACCACAAAAGAAGAGGGCCACACCACTGCAGTTTGTTCACGTTTGTCTGACCCCACAGCAGACGATTGTCTGGTCTTTCGCCGCCGCTGCTTTCCATGAAGCGTCTGCGGCGAGGGAGCAGCTGCAGGGCCTCTCCGGCCAGCTCTTCTGCCAGCGCCTTCTCTTCATTGGGTCCGTCCGCCAGCTTCTGAGGCCTATATGCTCGCGCAAGGCGAATGGCCCGTCGGGCCAGGCTCTCTTTGGCTTTCTGGGCCTCCTCAATCTCACCTCTTGACATAAGCCGACTGACCTTGTCCCACTGGCCAAGATCGAAGACAGAGAAGTCCATGGTCAGGCCACTGTCCGGAAAGTCCACTTTCAGTCTGTCCTGGGCTGTCGCGTGGGGTTACACTCAGCAATAATAGCCCCAAAACTGCAAATCGACTAGTGCAGGCAAGCAACGGTCGCAGCTTGCGCCACTCTGACCATCGAGGAGCTGACAGTTCTGACCTCCTCCATGGCATTCGGGTGCCAGAGCATGTGGGCCTTGTTCCCCAACATGAAAGGTGGGCTTTCCTGACAGACCATGATGGCCTCAGCAAAGTAGCTGTGATTGCCACCATCTGCTTCAGCCATTATCTGACCTTCAATGTAGAGCTTCCTGATTCGGACCAAAAACTCCTGGACGTGACTTTTGGACAGTGACACATCGTGGTCGGTTTTCTCAAAAAGCTTGACCAGGTGACCAACATCTTGCCCCCAGTCGGCACTCAGTCCGGCCAAGGCCGCATGTCTCGGACCCATGTCCTGTAGACGCTTCGCTGCTAGCAAACGATCCTCGGCCTCCAGCCTCACATCACTAGCTCTGACCGAGAGCAACAGTGCAAGGGCGCTCTGAAGCACTACATATCGTCGTTGTGGACAGACCGTGGATTCCCAACGGTGTGCCGCAAAGCTCAAGTGCCTGAGAATCTTGGTCAGGCCAGCACCCTGCTTACCGTTCTCGTCCAGTATGAGCTTCCTTATCGGTCTGAGCAGCCAAGCAAGTACTGCGTGAAGCATTTGCTGCAGCATGCATGACAGCAACTGGCAGTACGTGTTATTAAAAGCCACGAAGCTGACAGGCCATCAGCTCGAACCTAATCTTCTCTGAGTGCTGGATCTGACCGACCAAGGACTTCTTGGGTCGAAGATACACGTCCCACCACCACTTTTCGAACTCTTCCTCCAGCTTTGCCGGCTTGCCACAGGAGATTCGGACCAGGTGGCACGGGTCTCTGCCAAGAAAGCTCACGTTCTTCAGACCCTCTTGCAAATAGGCCAAACCTTTCTGCATGCTGGAAGCCCCGTCTGCCGTGATGCTCAGGATTTTTCGACAGACCAGATCATACCTCGGCAGAGCAGGAAGCATAGGTAGCAAGACTCACCACCAACAATGAACTCCTGTGGCACGTATATGTTTGTACATTCCTTTATTGTTTTATATGAAAAGACATGAGTACCACTAGTGTCCTTACTAATATTGTACTGCTGGTAGTAGTTGTCGTCGTGGCCGTTGTCGTAGTAGTAGTAATAGTAGTAGTAGTAGTAGTAGTAGTAGTAGTAGTAGTAGTAGTAGTAGTAGTAGTAGTAGTAGTAGTAGTAGTAGTAGTAGTAGTAGTAGTAGTAGTAGTAGTAGTAGTAGTAGTAGTAGTAGTAGTAGTAGTAGTAGTAGTAGTAGTAGTCGAAATACTCCAACTACTACACAACTACAACTACAACTACTGCTACTACTACTACTACTACTACTACTACTACTACTACTACTACTACTACTACTACTACTACTACTACTAGGACGACTTCTACTAAATACCACTACCACTACGACTACAACTACTCCTAGTACTTACTGCTGCTACTACTACTATTGATACTAATACTATTACTTACTAATACTACTCCTAAGACAAGTACTATTAAACTCCTACTACAACTACTTTACTACTACTACTACTACTACTACTACTACTACTACTACTACTACTACTACTACTACTACTACTACTACTACTACTACTACTACTACTACTACTGATTACTAATACTACTACTAGACTACTACTCAGTTTTGATAGGATTAGTACTATTGGCACTGATGAGAGTAGTAGGAGTTAGCAGGAGTAATAGTAATAGCCAAAGTACTACTAGTAGTGGTACTAGAAGCAGTAGTAGTATGCCACTATAGTAACAGTAATACTACTGTAATCGTGATCAACGTCGCAGTAGTTTATTTCTTAATACTGTTTACAGTAAGTGGCGCACACAAACAATGGGTCGCCAGCGGCCCCACGGCCAAGCGGGTCCCGCTAACGGGTCCCGTTGACGGGTCCCGTTGACGGGTCCCGTCGACGGGTCCCGTTGCCGGGTCCCGTTCACGGGTCCCGCTGACGGGCCCCGTCCGCGGGTCCCGCAAACGGGCCCCAGTGACGGGTCCCGTTGACGGGTCCCGCTGACAGGCCCTGTCGACCCGCAGACGGGCCCCTTCAGCAGGTCCTGAACAGGTCCGTGGGACTAGATGTATTGTAGTCTTAAATTGCAGCAACGGGTGCAAACGGGTCCCGCCCACGGGTCCCGCCCACGGGTCCCGCCACGGGTCCCGCCAACGGGTCCCGCCAACGGGTCCCGCCAACGGGTCCCGCCAACGGGTCCTGCCAAAAGCTTGCCAACGCATCCCGCCAAGAATTCCCGTGCATATTCCTTAATGCCCAGCAGGATGCGAGCCACGACATCAGAAGCCACCACCACGGGACCCGTTGGCGGGACCCGTTGGCGGGACCCGTTGGCGAAATCAGGCTGCTCTGACTGAGGACTAAGCTGAAAACAAATCTCAATTGTCTACCACGTTCAAGGAGCTTCTGCTCCTGCTCTGGGAGGCATGCTCCAACGGGACCCGTTGACGGGGCCCGTAAGCGGGACCCGTGGGCGGGACCCGTTGCTGGGACCCGTTGCCGGGACCCGTTGGTGGGACCCGTGGCCGGGACCCGTGGCCGGGACCCGTGGCCGGGACCCGTTAGTGGTTCGTTGATGCCACATGCCCCTTGATACTAGTGTACGAATACTATTAATAGTACTAGTACTAGTAGTACTAATCTTACTAATACTACAAGTACTATTAGTACTACTAGTATTGCTGGTACTACTAGTACTACTACTACTACTACTACTGGTCTGGTACTACTACTACTACTACTACTACTACTACTACTACTACTACTACTACTACTACTACTACTACTACTACTACTATCACTATTACTTCTACTACTACTACTACTATTACTACTACTACTACTACTACTACTACTACCTACCACTACCACTAATACTGCTAAGACTGCTATGTGCGACTACTACTATTACTACCACGACAATACTACTAGAGCTAGTACTACTATTATTTACTATTGCTACGACTACCACTAGTCGTCGTATCGTACTGATGGGGCTGCCTTTTGTCTTCTGAGCTGCAGGTGATAGTCGTACTTCTACCGCGATTAGGAACTTCAGGAACTACGAATAATAGCAATACTTCGGATGTTTTGGTGCTTGTACGCATTTTTTGTTGTCTTACTTCTGAGTCGTAGTGCCACTACTTACCAACACCAGTCACTCCTACCACTGCTAGGCGGTGATACTGCCCCCAGTTGGTGCCACCTAGCAACTGACCAGACGAAAATTCACCATCGGCGTTGGTAAAGATGCTTGCCAGCAAACCAGCAATGGTTTGACAGAGCCTGACTCCAAAGTCTTCGTTGATATCGACAATGGTCCCACCTCGCATCGGAACCTCATTATTATTTGATTGATTGAAGCGAACTGCGACCAAATGGACCGTCTTCTTCGTCTACTTAGCCAAGCCACAACGCCCAGCAAGCCACGTTTGGAGGTGACCTTTCGGACCTGTTCGTCGCCGTGGAGCAAGGAAACCTTGTATCTGACCACCCGCCAAGGCTCCTTGTCATCCACAAGAAGGGACACACAACTGCTGTTGACCAGGTCCGACTCTCGGCGGCGACGGATGCTCTCGGCCATGACTTCGATCATCTGTCGAATCTGTGTCCGACCACCGCCTCTTGCCCGTCCGGCCTCTCCAGAGATGTCTGCCTCCATTTGCAACAGATCTTCCTGGCGCAAGGTCTGGAGAGTGACAAACAACAACAACCAAGACACTCACACATTACCGTCATCACTGTACTGCTTTCTGAGTCTCGGTGGCTCGCACGGACACCAGACCGACATACTTCCAGACTCGGACCCAGTCACGCACTTGGGGAACACCTCCACGCAACAAGTCCAGGTCTGAATCCGGCAGCTGTCGGGCCACTTCCGAGACCGGCAAGTCCGGCCGCTGCCACGCGGCAACGGCCATCTTGTGCAGCGTGCTGCGGGCATGAAGGACGAAGCAAGCCGCTTGCATGGAGTGCAAGCCAGACCTGGGATTCTGGTCTCCACAAGCATCAAGATGTACAAGCTAAGCATTCGTCTGTAACTGTAACCATGCATCCAAGAGGCACTTCATACCTGGACCACTTGGTGGTGCATCTCCGCCTTTTCGAAGTCAGGCCTTTGGCTTCAGATCGACGTGAAAAGGCATTGCAAACGGCACAGCCCAAGCCCCACGGTCCGGCCACCCAGGACGGTTTTTCCACTAGCCAAGTCGTGTTCACAGTCCGACCACTCGGACCCTTCTGCTCGTGTCTGAAAGTCCCATACCTGCCAACTTAAATTTCTTTCAAAGTGGACACTTTGGTGGCAACTAAACTGCACTGACCGCTGAAGTGCCACCGCGCGACCTGGCCAACCAAATCTGCTTGTACTTGTGCCATTTGGCATAGGCAGCATCCTCGGACCGACCATCGAACTTGCTGCTGGTCTGACCAGCGCAGTTCTTGGACTTGCCAGTGCTGGCCAGCTTGCCAGGAATGACCACACTGGGCTCCTGCTTCTTCTTCTTCTTGGGAGGCTCATGGTCGGACCTGAGGAGAAGCGACAGCTTGCTTTTAGGCACATCATCACACCACGGTCGCTTCATTGGTCCGACCATGCTCTGGCCGCTAGCAGCTCGAACCGACAGCATTGCAGGCGCAAACAACATGGACATCGATCGGCTCACAGCTGAAACACAGCACGGAAATGCAAGCAAAACATGGAGGGCATGCCAGGTATTGTTCTGGTCCTACTGCAGCGTCCAACCAACTGCGAGACAGACCTTGCAGCGACGCTGAATCAAGCAAGCTAGGATAGAACACACACAGGACTTCATTGAAAGCCTTCAGGAAGAAAACGTATCCATGTGGAGCTCGTCGC